GGGCAAGATGGCACACACCTGTGATCCCAGCACTTTGGGAGGCCAAGGTGGGTGGATCACCTGAGGTCAGGAGTTCGAGGTCAGGTGGATCGCTTGAGCCCAAGAGTTCAAGAACAGACTGGGGAACATGGCAAAATCCCATCTCTACTAAAACTACAAAAAACTCAGCAGGGCCTGGTGGCACATGCCTGTAATCCCAACTACTCATGAGACTGAGGTGGGAGGATCACCTGAGCCTGGGAAGTTGAGGCTGCAGTAAGCCATGATCATGACACTGCATTTTAGCCTGGGTGACAGGAATAAGGCCCTGTCTCAAAATAAACAAATAAATAAGTTACCAAGTGGCTGGGAGCTGGAGGAGGAAATGGGAAGCGATTATTTAATGAGTACAGAATCTCTGTTTGGGATGATGAAAACAGTCTGGAAATAGATTGTGGGAGTGGTTATGCTACACTGTGTATGTACTTAATGTGACTGAATTGTACATTTATAATGGTTACAATGATACATTTTAAGTTTATTTTACCGCAATTTTTTCAAAGCTCTTCGAAGAAACTAAGCATGTGACTGACTCATAGATTATCTTAATGATCTGAGCAGAAGCCAAAAATAGAGGCAAGATTATCTAAAGAAAATACCTGGAAGAGCCTCTTGTCTAATGCAGAGAAATTCCCAAGACATACACAGAGTACTCACAAGTTGTTGAGCATGTTATATCAGCAAAAATACTGCCATTTTAGCCTAAAAGGGACAGAAAGAGGACAAAAATGAAGGGTATCAGTCTCCTAAAATTCTATAGAGAGGAGACAGGCTGATGAAGCTAGTGAGCTGCAAAAGGCACTGTCTTATCAAAAAGGAAAGCTGGCTTCGAAGACAGAGCCTTGAACCAGAGGGCAGAGCCACAAACGCAGAGGTTATTCCCAAGCTTTGAAAGCAGTTGGATTTTTTTTTTTTTTTTTTAAACAGAGTCTTGCTCTGTTGCCCAGGCTGGCTGGAGTACAGTGGCACAGTCTCAGCTCACTGCGATTTCTGCTGCTGAGGTTCAAGTGATTCTCCTGCCTCAGCCTCCCGAGTAGCTGGGATTACAGGAACCCGCCACCACACCCAGCTAATTGTTGTATTCTTAGTAGAGACAGGGTTTCACCACGCAGGCTGGTCTCAAACTCCTGACCTCGGGTGATCCACCCACCTCAGCCTCCCAAAGTGCCGGAATTACAGGCATAAGCCACCGTGCCTGGCCCATTTTCTCCTTTTTTAAAATGGGAAAGTTTATAACTGTTATTTTATGCCCACCCACCATTGTATTTTGGGAGTGGGTAACTTGTTTCTTGAGTTTCACACATTCACAGATAAAAAATAATTGTACCCAAGGATGAATTATTCTCAGAGTCTCTGCAATGCCCGATTTAAATCATGAGATTTGGGATTTTTGATCTGATGGAACTGAAGTGAGGTTTTTTTGCTTTGAGCTGATGCTGTAATGAGATGAGATTTTTGGATGAGGTGAATGTGCTTTGCATGTGGGATGGACATAAATCTTTGGAGTACAGAGAAGGCAGTCCACAGTAGGCAGAATAGTAGCTTCCTAAAGATGTTCACATCCTATCCCTGGAATATCTGGGAATGTGTTATTACATGGCAAAGAGGGACTGTGGTTGTAGATAAAATTAAAGTTGCTAGAAGCTGACCTGGATCTTATATTTTTTGAGGTCTCACTATGTTGCCAGGTCTGGTCTCAAACTCCTAGGCTCAACCAGACCTCCTGCCTTGGCCTTGCAAAGTGCCAGGATTAGAGGTATGAGCACCACACCCAGTTGGGCAACCTTCAAAAGGCGAGATTGCCTTGGATTATCCCAGTGGGCCCAATGCAATCACAAGAATCTTTGAAAGTGAAAAAGGGGGCTGGGCACAGTGGCTCAGTGGATCCAAGGATGGATCATCTGAGGTCGGGAGTTCGAAACCAACCTGACCAACATGGTGAAACCCCATCTCTACTAAAAATACAAAATTGGCCAGGTGTGGTGGTGTGTGCCTATACTCCCAGCTACTTGGGAGGCTGAGGCAGGAGAATCACTTAAAGCCAGGGGGCGGGGGTTGCAGTGAGCTGAGATCATGCCATTGCACTCCAGCCTGGGCAACAGGAGTGAAGCCTCATCAAGAAATAAAGGGGCGGGGGGAGAGAGAGAGAGAAAGAAAGAAAGAGAGAGAAAGAGAGAAAGAAAGGAAGGAGCAGGGAGGAGGGAAGGAAGGGAAGGAAGGAAGGGAGAGAGGGAGGGAAGAAGGGAGGGAGGGAGGGAGGAACAGAGACAGAGAGAGAAGAGGAGCCCATAGTGATGTGATACGAGAACTCAACCAACAATTACTGGTTTTGAAGATGGAGTGACTTTCTTTGATGGATGAAATGCTAGCACATGTGCAAGCAGAGATCTTATGTGGTTTAACATAACTCATGCTCCAGTGGTCCTTCTTGAAAAAAGTGCATCTCTGATGGCCCCAGAACATAGGGAGCACCCCTGAGCCTAACCCACAGTCTGGAACCAGGACCAGCTGACCTGCAACCTGAAGCAGAACCACCCAACCAAACCCAGTCTAGTTCAGCCAAAGTACAATTGTCCTGCAGACCCTGAGTGTAACAATAAAACCCTGCTGGGGGCGGTGGCTCATGCCTGTAATCCCAGCACTTTGGGAGGCCAAGGTGGGTGGATCACCTGAGGTCAGGAATTTGAGACCAGCCTGACCAACATGGAGAAACCCCATCTCTACTAAAAATACAAAATTAGCCGGGCATGTGGTGAATGTCTGTAATCCCAGCTACTTGGGAGGCTGAGGCAGGAGAATCTGGGCAACAAGAGCAGAACTCCATCTCACAAAAAAAAAGAAGAAATTTCTTTTGAAAGGCCATTGAGTTTTGTAGTGGTTTGTTATGCAGCATTGTTATTGAGGATGAAAGAGAGAATTCCTCACAAGGCATGCTGTCGTGAGTACCTCTTTTACTAATTGAAACAGTCCCAGCCAGGTGAGGTGGCTCACACCTGTAATCCTAGCACTTTGGGAGGTCGTGGCAGGTGGCTCACCTGAGGTCAGGAGTTTGAGACCAGCCTGACCAACATAGTGAAACCCTGTCTCTAGCAAAAATACAAAAATTAGCCAGGTGTGGTGGCGGGTGCTTGTAATCCCAGCTACTCAGGAGGCTGAGGCAGGAGAATTGCTTGAACCCGAGGCACGGACGTTGCAGGGAACAGAGATCTCATCACTACACTCCAGCTACCAGGCCCAGTTAGTTTTTTGTATTTTTAGTGGAGACTGAGCTGCTTTTCTCCATGTTGGCCAGGCTGGTCTCAAACTCCCAACCTCACATGATCTGCCTGCCTCAGCCTCCCAAAGTGTTGGGATTACAGGTGTGAGCCACTGCACCTGGCCATCTTTTCTTTGTTTCATTTTTGAGATGGAGTCTCACTCTGTCACCCAGGGGGGAGTGCAGTGGCATGATCTCAGCTCTGCAACCTCTGCTTCCCAGGTTCAAGCGACTATCCTGCTTCAGCCTCCTAAGTAGCTGGGATTCCAGTGCCTGCCGCCATGCCCAGCTAATTTTTATATTTTTAGTAGAGACAGGCTTTTGCCATGTTGGCCAGGATGGTCTTGAACTCCTGACCTCAAGTGACCCACCCCCTTGGCCTCCCAAAGTGCTGGGATTACAGGTGTGAGCCACTGTGCCCAGCCCAATCTTAAGACACTGGCTGAAAATTCTGGGACACAGCCAGTCTCTCTCCAGCAGGACATGTACGAGGACTTGGACAACCCTGGGAGATGCTGGCACATTGGGGCCACAAGCAGTACTGACCTTAAGAAAAGGGCAACATCTTGGAAAACAAAGTAGATAAATGAAACCAAGTCCTTGGTGCTGTCACGTGATTTCTGGATAAAGCCCTCACCTAAGCTATTTACTTACCTGAGCCTTTCATTGTTCAGGACGATTTGAGTTGGTGGTTTTGTTACCTGTAACCAAAAGTCTCCTAACTCAAAGTGGATCTGTGAATGACCAGAGTCTCTTGGAAGTTGTAGCAAGCTAGGTCCCCAGAGAAGCCACCTCTGAGATTGAGTGTAGGGTATACAGCATTTATTAATGAGTGCTCTTGAAATTGACAACTGAGGAAGACAGAGGTATGCAGGTCTGGGCACAGGGAGAAGTCCAGCTGCAGTGCAGGCCCAAGGATAGTGGCAGCTGAGCCTACAGGAAGTTTTGGAGCCAGAATAGCCCTTCCGAGTTGTTCCAAGCACTGAGGCCCAGCAAGTTCCCAGGCGTATTAAACTCAAGAAGTCTGTCGGCCCTGACAATGCCCTCAACAGGTCTGGGCACGGACTGGAGAGAAGCTGGGCTCCCACTGCAGCAGGAGGGAGTCGCCCAGAGCCACAGAGCCACGGAGACTCGGGCAGGGGTTGCTCCAGCACTTCTTCTGGAGAACTTTCGAGCCCCAGACGCAGTCAACACAGTTGTCCGCCCCTTATCTTAAGACAAAGTCTATTCCCACCACATCTTCTGCAAGGCCCAGCTGGGGACTCCAAGATACTCACAAAAAAGCAAACGTAAATCCAGCTTTATTGGTAAAAAGCAAGAGCAGATTTAATTGGAAATTCCCAACTGGTCCTGCAGCACCAACCAGA